TAAATAACTTTGACCTCGGTTAAAACCAAAAATGTGTGAGTAAAGACTAAGCATCAATATTAATATTAATCTTGTAAAAATTCTTCGCTTGAGACACTTCAGTCAGTCGAAGCTAGTCGACTGTGAATCTTCGTTCGCAGGTCTCAGATTTCAGCAATCATATCGTTCAATTTTGGACCGCTCTCTTAACCAATCAGATTGTACAATATTTGGAATGTTCTGGACTGCCCGTTTGTGAGAGACATCCTTTTTTTCCGTGACCTTTTCAACGGGACATTGCTTTTTTTATTAAATCCTTGGCCACATCCTCGAACGATATTGACCTCTAAGTTGGCCAGAGTGGTTGGCCTGCGCTATAACCAATCGCAAATTTTCTCTTAAAAAAAACTGTCACTGAAGAAACGTGTGGTAAATGAAAATCGCCTTTGAAGAGAAAGCACGCGCGAATTGACTATTTAACTGACTTTGCGCAAGTTCGCGCATCTTGAAAAGTTTAGCGTAAATGTTTCAAGTTCGTCGTTTGTAATCCGTGTTAATCTTCTCCATCCTTGTTTTTTTACGGTTATTATTATCTCTTTGGTGTTTTACTATCTTAGTAAACTACTATTTTCAGGTTTCCTTGAATTTAAAGGTAATTTTGCACGCGGCCAAAATTATTGAAAATTCCGTGACCGAGCTCCTTTAACTGAGAAACAAAGACTGTAAAGCCAAACAAAGATCACTAACGGTGCGTGGACTGTAATTGAAAAGATACTCTTTGCTCTGATACGTCCAAATACTTCAAGCAACTGCGCCGAGCCAATGGATATACTGCGCTTTTTAATTGGCACGAATGTGAAGTATTTAGCAAACTGGCGTCAAAAGTCCACTTAGTACGGCGGGTAGCTTTTATTTACAATTTAGACATGTTTGCATGCTGTCATGAAGTCTGGCGGGCAGGTGATTTCAGTTTCAAAAGTGACCAAGAGATATCGAAATTAAGAACCATGTAAATTATTGACTCTGCCAATTTATTTAGAAAACAAAAACCCTTAACACAAAGTGAAACGAATGACAAAGAAAGGGAACTGTAATGAAAATTATATGCCTTTTACGACGAACTGATTACATAAAATCACACATTCAGAATAATTTAGTGGTTGTAAAGTCTCCACAAATCATGGCATAAATTATTTACAATTTTTGCGGCCTTGGCACGAGATTGAATTTTAAAGGCACTGTGAACATGTTATCAAGATCTGCAAATGAGTTAAATTTTCGTAGAAGTTTAATTATTTTTGGCGGTCATTTAAGATGCAAACTCACAATTAATATGCCTTGGCATTATTTCAAAGGAATTTTAATTTTTTCCCGGCGTTTTTCTTTCCATAGTAACCTCAAGGTTTGTCATGTGTAATACTAATAAATCCAAAGAATTACTTTTTTTTCGCGATGTTATCGTAAAAAAAACCCGTGATTTTAAATTTTTATAGCGTTGCGAAAACAGATTTGTTTGAATTGTTTTCAAAGAAAACTAAATACGGTCGATTTAAGCAAGGGAAGTGATTTTTAGAGACTAAAAATGAATATATTGAAAGATTCCGTAAAATTATGAAAGTCACTGGACACTGAAGAACAATAAATTAGCATAAAAAAGAAGTTTCCATGCCCGCCCATTTCAGGTGTTAACGCAAAAAAGACCTGTCATTATTTTGACAGAAAAATGATAAATTCAGCTTGTCTATTGTCAAGGCACAACTGAAAACGTTCTCTATTGTATGCGAACGATGCCGAAGCTATTGAGTTACACTTGGCTCTCGCTCAGACAATTTTTCGCTCCGACAGCCACAGCAGGTAACCGCAGAATGTAAACACGGGCTAGGGCTAAAGAGGGTAATTTCGCGAGAGGAAGTTGACAACACATACACGAACTCTTGAACTGTTCTCGTCAACGCAGACAAATCAAGCTTTTGACACAGAACTGACTTACATCTGGCCAAGAGCGGGATTAAGAGAAGAGAGCCGTGTACAAACGATGGATTCATCGTGACCCTTTATTGCGTTTAAAACTCAAATCTGCGGCACTGTTTTTCGCCAGAGTGGAGTTTAACATGAAGTTCTTTCGGTTTGTCATCTCCAGTCTGATAATTTACGGTTGTTTTGAAGGCGACATCGCTAAAATTGAAGCCGACAATGCTGCACTCGAAAAAAAGACAAATAAGGTAGGCGGAGAGGAAAACAAAATAGTGATTTTAGACGAAGAGTTTCCTGACGAACCGTACGTCGAAATCAGAACGAAAAGAGAAACAGATGGCGAGAAGGAAAAATATTCCGGTTACACCGTTGACGATGAAGATGGAGAAAAAGAAACAGACGGTCTGGGAAGTGGCGACGAAGAAGAATACGTGCAGAGTGACGAACCATCAGCTCCTGCTGACGGAAATGATGAAAATTTGAACTTTCAAGGAAATTCGAGCATTGGGCTAAAGTTAAATGGCACTACAAGTGCTACACGTGCGTTTGGTCAAACCGTTTCAGCGAACGCCGCTGCGTCGGCCTCGGTGGGTTTTGTTACGAGCGCTCCTTCGGGTAACACCACGATTAATATAGCTCCTACAACGAGAAGGGATGGAAATTCAAGCAATACTGTTGTTACTAATCCGCTACACAGTACTCCATATATGAGAGCCGTCAACACAATCGACACCGCGACCGTAAAAAGTTCGCCGTCGTTGTCATCTCTGGTGATAGCTTCTGAAACTTCCCGTGTTTTGGTTAGTCGCTCGACGACTGTAAATCCCACAGGGCTCGCGACAGAACAATCCAAGACAATCGAAACTACCACAAAAGGCGACGGCGATGTACAGAACCAAAAAGATCCTCCGCCGGAAGAAAACAAAGACCGAAAAACTTTATTTGGGTTTGTCACGATCGAAATACTTGTGGCGCTGCTCGCTGGTGCGGCTTGCGCCGTAATACTGCTTGTTTTCTTAGTTCATCGCCTTAAGAAACGAAATGAGGGAAGTTACGAGCTTCAAGAAACGCTTAACTTGAAAACAGCCGGTTATGCCGAAGAGAAAGAGGTTTTTGTATAAATTAGTCATGTTTACCTTTTGCTACAAACGGCGTGCTTTTGTGACTTTATTAAACGGTTTTGCTACGGGTCCTAAATTATTTGCGAGGAACACCGTGCGAAAGGATATTTGTCGAATTGCGGTGGGAAAACGCTTAGCTGAAAAGCCCCGTTGTCGAGATTTTCAGAATATTCTTTGCTTCTGCTGACAGTTTTGGCTAGCGGAAAGTTATTCTAAAAAGCAGGTGTTCTTAACATGTTTAAACGCGCCAGAAAAGATGGTGCGGTATTTTTAAGGACGGTTGTTAAGGCTTTTTACTAAGTATCGCTTTAGATCAGTTTCTTCTTTAAAGAATATATTGCAAAATGTATAAATAATTCTCGAACAGAATTGGATTTATTATATGTCAAAGAGATGAAGAGACAAAAGAATGGAGGTTTTTAATAGTACACATGCAAATATTTGCATTGTAGGAAATTCTATATAAAAGGAAAAAAAATTCGCCGTGACTTCGATCTCGACGTAGTTTGCCACTGAACGTAATTTATCTAATCGTGAAAATAAAATGCTCTCGGAATTACCAAATAACTGTAACCATATAATGCGTTGTTGAAATTGTTATAAGCGTTTTTCGGAGTCGGTCTGTAACTGGTTATACAGAATTTTCGGTTTCGCCTCCGGCTATTCTTTATACATCGCGCCGGCTTTAAACAGAAATAAATAAAGCTGAACCTTAACTATCGGTATCTTTACAGCTTCCTCTATATTTAAAACGCACACATCCATATTAGGGACCTCTATGACACAGACACTTCCGTTACACGGAGAATGCGTTCTACCCCTGTAGTTTGGTGTCCGTGTTACAGAGGTTTTATGTACAATATAACGCCTAAAATGAAATTTGTACTTCAAAGAAATGTATACACATAATAGAAAGTTCTTTTCCAATATATCTATAATGGCTATGAAAACGCATTATTGTCGCTTTTGAAAAATGCTTGAATTAGCCGCAAACGAGAATAGTTAGGCAAGAATGTGTATATAAACGTATATTTTTAAATCCTATGTTTATTTTTCTTTGTATAATAAAAATCTGGGGTTCTGTTTTGGTCGCTTGCTAAATTAATATGTTAGTGATTTTGTTTCTGCATTTTTGGAGCAACCATGTCGTTTTTGTGCTCTGATAAAAAGCGTTAGATCTCGTATAGAATGAGACATTTGAAAAGAAAGAAAACTTGTTCACTTCAAGCTTTTTTAGAAGTGTCAGATGCGACGGATAAAGCGACAACTTTCCTGGGGAAATATTTCAAATTCGACTGGAATTTCCGGATGGGTATCTAGTTTTATTTTATTTATTCTTACGTTTGCTTTCGCGTTAATTTGGGCGAAAATAGTTCCTAATCTGGGAAAAAGACTTTGTGAATAGTATTTATATATACTGTATGTATAACTGCGCGGTATTCGGGAGTGTGCTCCCCTATGGGTCGTATTTATAGTGTCATTAGTTTAGTTTCCAGCTTAAAATAGTTTGTTAGACGACCTTAAAAGTAGTGCTGATATTAGCCAGGCTGCTATAAAAGTAATAAACTCCTTTCAGTGAACTCTTCTTGTCATTACCATGTCAAATCAATGAACGAGCGATTAACACCTGAAAGAGGTCGTGGATCACTCCCTTATACGGGCTATATAGGTACGTATGTGCGGCCCCAAAGGGTATGGTTTTTAGCCGTTTAGGTCATAAACAGCGGATCGATTTTGGCCATTTTGGTCTTGAATAGGGTATGGTTTTTGCACTCTAGTCTTGAATTGGGTATGTTTTTTAGAAGAAGCTACTTTTTCATGATAATCGAAAAGACCATCAACAAAAGCCCTTTACAATCCCTTTAACATCGGTCTGAACTACGGAACAAACCAACTAAGGGTCAGGTCTAAAATGGGGTATCGAATTTTGGTCTAGTCATAAATCAGGATAGAGAAAATCGCAGATTGTGGTCTCAATTTTGGGAAGCGGGCCGCACACCCCCACCCTTACCCCACCCAATTTTTCTGAGAGTTCCCCCCGCCCCCGGGATCCCGTTATTCGCGCATTATGATAGACAAAAGAGCGATTACAAGTGATTTTCTACGCTGCATTACTGTTCATTATTTCGTAGCCGGAAGTTCACGAATTATTTGTATTTCGTGTTAGCTTATTTCGTCTTGATTTGTTTCGCGGTGACAGACGTCCTTTGTTTCTGAGTTGAAAAACGAAGTACACTATATTCAGTCCTTAATGTATGATCTTATAGCAATACTCAATTTTCCGTTATGATATTAAAGCAATATTCAATATCTATTATTTCGCTTCAACACCCAGAACTACATTAGCGTGGCTTTCCGTTTCTGAAACGAAAAATTACGTTACTGCCTCAGGCCCCATTTAAATGGTCTCGGCCTCGGATACCCAAGACACCCCGAGTTACCCTGGCCGAGGTAACTTTTAACTCATTTTTTTGCTAAATTCAACCAACCGTCTACAAGAGGATCGCGAACTCGTTTCAGGGGACCGAGATAACTCGGGTGGGCGAGTTCACGGTCTCGCCTCGGCAGGTAGGGTAACGCTGGCAAGCCGGACAACTTTTCTTCATATAAACGCTTTGGCTCGCCTAACCGCTGCAAAGACGTTTGTCAGCATTTGCCTGTTGTAGCCTTCAAACACTCCCCCAACATTCGTGACTTACTAGCTACAGCTAAACTCTCTTCTAATTCTGCCAATCCCCAACTTCCTTCTGGTTCTTTCCGTTGTGGCAAAAACTGTGCTACTTGTCCCTACA